GTATAGGGTTAATTTATTAAAGGAGCTGATAATCTTCACTTAATACATTCATTGTAGTTGTGTTTATTTGAATACCCCATCACGTGCAGATAAAATAAACAGGAATTTGCTGTTCATATGCTTGGATAATTCTCAGCTCCTTTAGTAAATCAGCCTCTATGTGTTTGGTGTTACTAGACTTTTTCTGAATAAGTAGAAGTGGAATGGTACGGTATGTAATAGCATGGCCAGGAGTGTACCTGTGGCTTCCTGGGATACTGTCATCTGCAAACACGTCAGAGTTTATGCAAATCAAAGGCCTACAAGCATGTTTTCTGTGGATTATGAGCATCTCATTACTGATAGCAGAAGTCTTCCACAGAAAAAACAGGTACCAGGCTCCTGTATGTACACCTTTATTACCAACATTGGAAAGCTAGGTCAAATGTATGGAGGTTGCTTGTGGGGGGGAAAGGGGTCGAATTCACACTGATATCTGCAGGTACCCAGCCCCCAAGAGAGATTGATTAAGGCAGTCATTCCAGCTTAGATTCTTATAAAGAAAAACTCAACAATTATTTACTTTTATATCATGTATTTCAAAGATCTGAATACTTTTCCCCATATTTTCTGTTACTAGATCAAAGATTTCATGCCTGCATTTTACTCTAAATTCACAAACACCACCAAATACAAATTGACCCAGTCAACTGAAATAATAAACCTAAAGCTGGTACCTTTTTGATTCCTTTTTGTCCAGTTGTCCTCTGTATAAAATCTCCCTCATTTGTATTTCTAATTCAAAGATCTTTATTGGGATTATGCTGCAGGCTTGCAGAAGGACAGCTTGTTGTTCAGTTGCTGGATATCCATCCAGAACAACCCTGCAAAGAGGTTGAGAGTTTCATTAGTATTTGATCATTTTGAATATTGTATTTTTCTTTTTCTCTCATTGTTTTGTGCGTAGGATATAACTTGTCTAATGGAAAGTCTGGCTAGGCCAGATTGCACAGTTGTTCACTATAATGATAAATCACGCATATAGGCTGCACTATATGATAATGTATAACTTATTAGTGTATATACACATTATATTGTAGGAAAATTCATTATATTTAGCATAATAAGATAGAAAACATGTTTTTCGCTTTCCTTGTATAAGGAATCATAATTATATTGCTATTTATCATATGCGCGGTATTAGGCAATTTAGGTATTGGCAGTCACTTATTTTTATAATTATAATTTTTATATCTTTTTCCATTATAAAAATATGTTAATTGAAAATCACATTATGTATAACTAGCATAATTGGGAAAAATATATATACAATATATATACAAGGCTGTAAACCCTTATTTAAGGTGGTGGGCGGGGCTAAGCGCCGCAATGAGAAGACATCCCGACGTATCTGACGGGATCCTCCCCACTGATGACTGACAGTGATTCTTGAGAGCTGCTGCGCGTCCACGAATATATAGACATGCGCAGCAGCTCTCTCCTTACCTGCACGTCCCCGTGTGCCAGCTCCTTCCCCCCTCTCTCTCTCTCCCTGCTGACACTGACATACTAAAATGATCGTGGATCGCTGATGACAGAGGGGAAGGAGCTCTCTCTCTTCAGCATTTACTACAAATGGGAAAGTCCATATATGGTAAATGATGTCACTGGAGATCCCTGCTGATCGGATCCGATCAGCAGCATTTTGGCTAATTAGAGTAAATTACATTATTTACTTATTTAGCCTAAGGAATGCATTAATAAAAAAAAAGATAGAACCCCATAGTTCTCCTTTAACCAGTCTAGTGCTTATACTTATAAAAGAGGTTATGCCATTTTGCACTTGGAGGCAAAGAGCAAAAAAAAAAGCAACTCCTTTACCTTCAGGCATAAGGATTTAAGGCTTGATTGACAAAATGTTTGATTTTTCCAAACCGTGCCATGTCTAGGCTAAACATATCGTGTAGGTGAGAAAAATAGTAATTATTCAGGAAAATCCATTCTGAATAATTGATTTTCTTTCTGACTTCTTGGTTCAGGCATTTACAGATGCTGCAAGGTGTCCATAGATATTCAATTGTTTCTCGATCTGATTTTTGCCGACAGGGCAAAAAAAACAGCTGTGACCAATTTCCATGTATATTGTACAGTTTCTACATTATACAACTCCATTCTAGTGGTACCACACCAAGGCTTATTACAGCTGTTTTCACCCTCTGTGGGTGCTGGCCTAACATGGAGACTCGCCCCCATCCTCCTTGAATTCACCACTTATGAAATCTTGTAGCCACACTACCACAGAAACCAGGTTTTAGACTTTATTCATACCAGTAGAATGGATTAGGCCAGATTCCTAAAGCTCTAACAGGTTTCACCAGGTATGATTTAGCCTACAACATTGTGAAATGTGGGAGAGCTTGAGGAGTCTGGCAGGGGGTCTGTTCCACTGGACTGAATAAAGATTACTGGACACCTGATTTATGTGGTAGTGGGATTCCGCGCGTATTGTTTGTTTCTATATCCCTGTACAGTTCTGCTCAAGTACTGATCTGTGATCAGACTTCCTATATGGAATTGGGCACCTTACTCATACAGTATTGTAAAAATCCTCTTTATAAAGTAAACCTACCCTGTTGTGTTACATGTTGGATCCATCAGTGCTACTTCTAGACATTTGATTGCAAGCTCATCAGGCACAGCCAATCCCTTCACAAGAAGACTTTTTATGTCTGATGCAAGCTCTGTGTCTGGCTGATTTTCTAACACCGACCGAATGGCATCTCCCATTGACAGTCGCTGTAAGCCATATGTGCTAGCAAACATGTTGGCAACTGAAACACACAAATAAAAAGGTGTTACCAAACTGGAAAAAATTCAGACATATTTTGCAGTTGAATCAGTCATTTTATATTTATTGAATACAAGTAATATTTATGTATAATCAATTTGATATAAGTTCTTCTTGAACTATTACTATTTAGTTTAAGGTGAAACATGATGGGGCTAAACTGTAGATAAAGTGAGATTTAGGATTGTGATATAATTAAGAACTCATTTACTTTTAGTGAACTTGTACATTATGCAGTGGTCCATCCCACTTAGTACAGCCTACTGTGTTAATCACTTATCTTGCCATTCCCTTTCCAGAGTTCTTCACTCTATCACGCTGTCCATCTCCACAGCCCTTCTAGTGAAAATATCTACTCCAGCCCACCTTTAAAGAGCACAACACAGCCATATTCATTTACTGTGGCTGAGCATATTCCATTAGACAACAGGAAAACTGCTCAGCCCATAGGAAAGAATGTAAATGTACCGGTGGAGACGTTTTCAATAGAAAGGCTGTGTAGAAAACAGAAATACATTGCTGGAAAGATTAGCAAGGTAAGCGATTAACATGGCAGGCTGTAAGGGGGATGGACCATTACACACAGTACAAGTTAACTAAAAGTTCTGTATGTAATGAGAATATTGTGAGTAGTCATACATCATACCAAGGAAATAGCAAGGATGTCACCAGCACACCAAGTAGATCGATTTAGCAAATGTCCATTTTAATGACAAACACTGCCATTCAATAGCATTTTGAATGGCATTGCTATCAATAGCAGTTTGAATGGCAATAGCTATTGAATGGCAGTGTTTGTCATAAAAATGGACATTTGCTTATCGATCTACTTGGTGTGCTGGTGACATCCTTGCTATTTGATATGTTTTCACGGTGCCTACGTGGTCACTGCGAGACCGTGACCGTTAATAATATGTCGTCCATGGCAGTGAATGATGGAAGGCCGTGAATGATGGAATAATATTAACGGTCACAATTAACGATTTAAACAAAATACTTTGTAAATAAATCCCGGTTTTCTCAATAATACTGGTCTGTGTGCAAGCGCAGATGCTGAGGTCGGCAAATTCGACTAAGCCGGCGTTCTCGACAGACCTCCAGTATCTGCGCTTAGTATCGGGGAATTTTCACGAGTAGGAGTACTTGTGAAAATGCCCAGTTTCGGCACTGGTGCTTCCCTACTTAATAATATAATGTATTGCTGGGACTTGTAGTCCCACATAGTTGGTGGTATTCTGCATTGCTGTATAATCATTATACAGCAATGCAGAATACCACCAGCAATGCATAAAACTGAGCACTATATCACCAGCATCCCACACACACAAACGTAGAGGGTGTCAGGAGGGGTGCAGAGGGTGTCAGGAGGGGTGCAGAGGGTCCCTGTAATTGCTCAGTCTTACAAAATCAAAAGAATTACTAATGATTCTATAAGACTGAGCAATAGTTTGATTTAGATGACAATACAAGCAGGGAGACAGAGGAGAGGGGAAGGGAGAGGAAAGGGAGGGGGGGGGAGAACGAACACTGCACACTATCTTACCTGCAGCCTGCTCAGCCCGGCCGGGACTCCTACACGCAGCAGCCACACCTCCGAATGACTCATCGCTCTGAAGTCTCAGAGAGATCACTCTGCTCTCTCTGAGACCCTGGAGCTAAGAGGCAGATAGGAGAGAAGCAGCTCTGAAGGGCACAGTACCTTGCAGCCGAGGCCGCAAGGAACTGTGCCGGTCTGAGTGCGTGCGGACATCAATGCATCCCTGCCGCACAGCTGCCCGTACATGCTACGGGTGGCTGTGCAGGGATGTAGCAGCAACTCTCTGGAGGGGGGGCCCTCTTCTTCCTCGCTGGGCCCCCCCCCAAGTGGCCGAACGCCAGGGCCCGGTCGCAATTGCGACCGCTGCGACCCTGGTAGTTCCGCCAGTGCATGTCTGTAAAATATGGTTGTATTGCTATTTATAATGGGGATTAGTCTTAAAATGATTTCAGAGATACAGTTGAAAAAGAGGCTAGCTTAATGTAAACTTATCAAGGTGAAGTTTTAAAACCTACATATTATTATTATTATACAGGATTTATATAGCGCCAACAGTTTGCGCAGCGCTTTACAATATAAGGAAGACATTACAATCACAATACAAATAACAAGATGGTAAGGAGGGCCCTGCCCGTGGGGGCTTACAATCTAAAAGGGAGGGCGAAGTGATACATGAGGAGGTAGCTGTGTGGGGATGAATTGTTTGAGAAACATATAGCTTATAGTTATCTAGAGGCAGCAAGGCTTGCTCACTAGTCAGCCTTTGCTTTCTTCTTAGTAGTGCTAAACAATCGTTATATCTTACTGGCACTCCTATCTCACTGCAAGTCTACTAGAAAAACTCCCCACAATGCCCATGCCAGAAACCATGTGGTCTTTGCCTAGGCTACAGCTCATATGCAACTCCTACATTCAGCACTTTTTACATCAAGAGGGCATTTTATTGAATTTAAAACAAATAAAGCATGCAATCTATAGTCAAATGACATGGGGCCTTTACAAACCACAGGTCCATTAGTAACTTGAAAATGTGTAAAATTATATAATTTCAAATCTATGAAATGTTAAATTCTGATTCTGAGATTTTACATTTAACATAAAAGTACTATACTACAAGTACTACAAATCCACTTGTATCCTTGTTATACAGGTCCTACCAATATCATAATGATACCAATATCATTATTTAGTAGCTGCATCCACTGGGTTTTTTCAAATAATTTGCTGTACAAGCATTGATCTTACTTGTGGTTTTTCCAGACTTGGGAGGTCCAACGACTGCAATTCTAATTGGCACTGAGGGTTTAGGCTTCAGCTGATGGATACATTTAATGGGATTCTTCATAAATGCGAGCCTGTTTTCTTTGGTTGAAAAAAAGTAAATGTATTGCCTGTAAATCAGAGGAAAACTAGGATGCTCTTGATTTTGTAAAGATTTAATTACTTCTCCTTGACCGAGCTAGAATAGAAAAAATATATATATAAAAGTTTATAAAAGCAAGAATTAATTTAAAAAAGCTTTAATGTAATTAGTTGCTATGGGAAGACCCTCCACAATACCCTCTGTCTAGCTCAGGCACAATATGACAAATTGTCCACACTAATTAATCCCACAGCACTAGTTGGTCCAAATATTATGTCTTATACTTGCATCAACAGTACACCTCTGCTTTCAAATAGTATCATGGTGGACAGCCTATAAGACAGATAGGGGAATCTGGTAACACCAACAAAAATCATGGAGTGTACTGGACTTCGAGAAGCATGTCCTGTCATGTATTGCAGTAAAAACATGAATAATACCACCAAACACAAATGTTAAGCTAAGCATATCAACATGAAAACGGCAACCAAAAAACTCCAACAGCATCAACTGATGGCAATTTATGCAAATGCTGTGAAATGTCATCAGTTGAGGCCAAAAAAGTGTGATGTTGATATGCCGGTTTAACATTTGTGTTTGTGAGTATTATTCATGTTTTATTTGCAACAAATACCAGTACATGCTTCATGAGGCCGGTATGCTCAGTGTGTTTTGCTATGTTACAATGCAAATCATGGGATGGAAATAGGAAAATAGGGGTTAACGTTAACTAAGAATACAGATGATTCTGTGAGCTGTGCCCCAACAAGGAGGGCAGTGATTATACTGGATATAGTTTTGTTTGTTACTTGTTTGTATTGTTTCTTTATATAAAAATTTGTTAATACGGTTGAATTCTGGAAAAAAAAAAACTTAGAATACAAATCCACTAATGCAATCCAGGTAATAATTTTTATTTATTTCATCCAAGTAATAGCGTGTGATCAAAGATCTAATTACATTTCACTCCAGTGTTTTACTGTTTTAATTCTGTTGCAGAAACATCCATATCTAAAGCCGAGTATAGGAAAGAAACAGGAGCCCTTGGGTGGTGTGAGTACCCCTGTTTACTCAAAAAAGGAGCATGAGGGATGTGTGGCTTCACAGGCAGCCGCGAGTGCCAACACCAACCTATCTTGGGAGGAAAAAAACAGTGATACTGTTCTTTAGCCCACCTAATTGCCATCTCCTTCCAAAACAGTTACATGGAACTGAGGTTGTTCCTTAAATCGTCTGAATTAGGGAACTGTCATCTAATGTCTATGGGTACGCTTACCATGAACGTTACATAGGCATAGGCAAAAGCTTTATTACCACGATAGGCAGTTGCTTTATCTCTCCCCCATAACCTATGATTTAGCATTTACATTGAATTAGTTTTTTTTAATAAATGTGTCCCATCTTACTGATGTAAAAGAAATCTGTAGTGGGGAAGTATGAAGTCTGCCATTGCTAAACTATCCTTCACGAAAATACCAGATGACGGGCTGTCATGATGATGTAATGGCTTTCTAAGTACACAGATTAAAGGTTGTAACTTTCCTGATCTACATGCTGGTCCCAGGTCAGTAGTTCTCATTATGGAACCCAGAGATAGACAGGCAACTAGCATTTTGAGGCGGAGGTCAGCAATGGAAGCTTGTGTAATTCTGAATTCCTTTAATGTGGAATGCTTCTAAGACCTTGCATAAAAGCCTCAGCAGGCAGGTAATGGAGGTATGCAGAAAATGGACTTTAACCCCTTTGTGACAGGAGACGTACACTGTACGTCCCGCCACAAAGGGACCAAATGACTCGTCACGTACACTACGTGACGAGTTATTTGCTGCATTAGAGGGCTGGTAACCTCTGAGAATCAGCGGTTACCATTCATTAATGGATGCCTCAGTATAGAGGCATTCATTAATGAAAGGGTTAACCTTTTTCAGACACCTGATACCTTAATATCGGGTGTCTGAGAGTCAAAGCAGAGCGGGCAAACATGCCGGCAAAAGCCGGCATCCTGACAGCTCGTATAGATCTAGAGATATCTCTCGGATCGTTTACTGGCTTTTTTTTTTCTTTCACTTTCAGGAATAGACACATAATGTATCTATTCCTGAAAGAAGAATGTTTCAGTTTTCTGAACGTTGTTGGAACGTTCAGAAAACATTTAGTGACAGCTGAATCCTGAACTGCTGCAGGATCAGTGTCACTAACTTATTATTGGCTGTTCTGATTTTCACAATGACTGCTTGATATAATTAAATACAAAAAATTTTTTTTTCAAGTTTTAAAAAAATAGTGAAAAGTGTAAAAAAAATAAAAATAGTGAAAAGTGTAAAAAAAATAAAAATAGTGAAAAGTGTAAAGAAAAAAAGTGTAAAAAAATAAAAAATAAAGGACAAATAAATCAATGTATTTATTTATTGCATTTTTTTTTAGCTGTGCTAGTTTTGTAAAAAATACTACAAATCAAAAGTGCGAAAAAAGTCTTTTTTTTAACGTTTTTTCCTCTTTTTTTATATTTTATTTGTCCTAAGTGAGGCGTTAGACATATGTAGCCCTATCTGTCCTCTAAAAAACAATATACAGTAATATCTTATACCAACATACCAAGTAATACAAGCAACTTGGTTTGAGAGTGTTTTTCAAGACAAGCAAACATTTCTGACAAATTTTGCCTTGATATACAAGCAATGTCTTGCAATAAGAGCAAAATTTTGTAGAAAAGCACCACCCGAATATGGCTGTAGCAGTGCGAGCGCTGAGTCTGTTTAATGACAATGCAATGTCACATTGGATAGATTCCTTGTTAAGGTTTCACGAAATGAAAAAGATTCCATTGAGCCGAGAGATAGCAGTGATTCCGTTAGTGATAGTGAAAGTCGTCCTACACAATAATCCTCCCCTCTCTTGTCCCCCTCTCCCCAGCCACGAAGGTAACCGGAAATTGGTTTATTTTTCTTTATATGGTGTACAGTATTATATTATATTACTGTATTGTATTCATTTTTATATCAATATTTTTGGGTTGTGGAACGAATCATCTGAATTTCCATTATTTCCTATGGGGAAATTCGCTTTGATATACAAGCGCTTTGGATTACAAGCATGCTTCCGGAACGAATTATGCTCGTAAACCAAGGTATTACTGTATATTATGTGTGGGTGCACTTTGTAAGAAAGTATATTACTGACGTGGAAGAATCACACAGCAAAAATGTCAAAAGTGTGTCAGTCATTTACGAACAGAAACTAAAAACAAGCTCAGTCATGAAGGGGTTAAAGGCAGCAAGTGGTGGCACCCTCTAGTAAAGGAATAGTTTGTGATGATTTCCTTAACACAATATCAGCAACAGCAAAACTATAATTTATTTACTATACGCTTTCAATTTAACAATACCTTGACAGGGTCCCATCGTCTAAAGATACTGGGGTGCTTATATGACATATGAAGCATCTTGTATGCAAGGGACTGGCTAATGGGAAAACATTTTTCAAACAGACATTCTCGATTTTCCACTATGTTCTTTAGTTTTTCATATAGCTGGAAATGCACAATGTGCAATTTACGGCTTGTATTGACTGTAACACACGGTATCATTAGGCTTTGAAGTTCATCCTGTCATTTGAAGAAAAGAAAAATGTGTGCAAATATTATTATATTACAAGTTATATTATATACTGTATATTTTATTATATTTCAAATATTAGTGTATTACTTCTAAAGCCCCATTCCAGTTTTTTTATTTTTTTGTAATAACCAAAAATTTCTGATGCATAACCAGTCATTTTGTACACTGACCATCCCTGGTCCAGAGCTAGTCCTCTTGTGGGTTGACTGATGCCCAGCATCATCCAGCCCACTAACCCGTAAGACTAGAGTGTCTTGGCCACATATCCCAAGGTGTCACCACACAAACCTGGGCTCACAGAAGAATGTTGCAGAGAACAGGACTTGCATCACTACATGAGCTCTATTCTCTGCAGCATAGAGGACCATTTACCACCGCTGCAGGAAGAAGGGGATGATGACCCCAAGATCTAATTTGACTGGCAAGGAGACAGTAGGAAAAAAAGTATGTATGCAGAAAAAAGAATGTGAATCAACGGGGGAAAAGTGCCCCAGTTGGAAGGGGGGGAGTGGGGTGATGGAAATCAACTTTAAATTCTCATTAATAAACAGAACTAATAATAATATTTACCTCCTAAAGCAGAATTTTAGCACAAAAAAACTAAATTGGCAAGCAGAAAGGTTTTTTTAATTGGACAAGAGACATCATGAATGAGCATGTGCATCTCATTGTGCAATCCCGGCATCTGGTAGATGCTGGGATATGTGGAAGTTACAACATTCTGGCATGGCCAATCAAGAAGGCCAAACATTGTGAGCCGAGAAGAACACCGGGCACAGATGTTAGCACCTGTGAGAGAGCTTGCGGTGTTAGTGTTTGCAGATTTTAGTTCTGCTTTATATCAATTCTACTTATTAATACAAATACATATATTTCATTAATCTGCAATACATACACTTAAGCTGACCAAACACAAGAATCGGCCAAACTTCCAACAGTGGGTGGCCCTGCCAGCTGGACCAAAGTCGATTTAGTAAGTAGCCAGGCGAAAGTTGTTGTCTGAACAGTGTTGGGTACTCAGGTATTCTGTCAGTGGGAGGTGCCATCTGTCAGAATACAACAGGCTGGTGGGGGGGATTCCTCCATCCATCCTGTTAAGCATGCCTGGAGGAATATGTTAAAATTATAATAATGTAACTCCAGCCGGCATGGAAAGGAGTTTTAGCATTTTTAGCCAACCAATGCCTGAAGAAAGAGGATGCCAGTGTGGAAGAAGCAGCGAAGAAGATGGCAGCAGTTGCAATGGTGGTGCATGGACCTTGCATACCTGAAGGAGGGCATACTAAAAGGTAAGTTTGCCATAATGTAAAAGTAAACTCTTCATACTTTCACATTATAGCATGTGCTCCTGGGGATCTGTGGTGGCTCAGTTCCACTTGTGTATATAGTACAGAAGTGGAGAAGGCAAGTTATGCATACATGAGAAACATAGGGATGGACAACTGAGTCAGCAGAGGCTGGTATGAATAATTATTTGGTTATGTTATGGTCACAGAGTTGTTGCGCCAAGTGAAGTTGTAACTTCATTGGAAGCAGAGCTAGAGTTGGTACTCAGGAGCCTACAAATATTACAAGTACAGAAAAGAAAGTCATTATTAATGATTAAAAATATACAAATTAAGAATAACAAGCGTATTTCTCTTACTTTGACTGTTTGAAGTGATTCAACATCACCTATACATTTTTCTCCAATCTCAGATTTCATTCTCTCTTCGGCATCCTCCTCTTGTTCTTCTTCCTCCTGCTCCTCTTCTTCTTCTTCTTCTGGGAATTCTTCAGAAAGAATCTGCTCAATTGGGTCTACCTCTTCCTTTTCTTCTTCCTCATCTTCCTCATCACTGGCATCAGGATCCTTTTTCTCCTAATAAATAAAACAACTCTCATCAACCAAAAATTCATAGCCAAAATATGTATTAAAAGTTATATTTTCAACTTCCATTTAAATTGTTGTTTATTTTTATATGCTCAAAAATACAATGACAAACTAACATTCACTGATACACTGTATGTCATTGGAAAACAGCATACGCAGGTACCTGTCTTCGTGGATTGTTAATTGCTAACAATAAAATTGCTACGGCTTCAAGGTTTAGGCTGGCTTCACATCTATGCATTACTACAATGAACGTTAAACTATGGCATGCCTCCTGCTGACCTCAACGTCTCTACTGTCTCCTATAATGACCTGGACTCAGAGGTCAGCAGGAGGAACCGGTGAAAGCTGTGGGGGTCCCAGGAGATCAACACTCCTGGAAGTGTTGTTTTGCCAGCAGACCTCTGGAGACCATTTTTTATGAATGGGGCACAGTTCAGAAACATGGACAGTAGCAAAATGTAAGTATTCCCTCTCTTCTTTACAGTACATTATTGCTTTGATTTTTTTATGTAACAGGGTCACTTTAAACGGCTAATGCCTCACAATATTTTTTTATGTGTGGGACTCTAGTATAGTATGGTTAAATAATATGTATAGTATTGTGAGAATAATATGAATGCTTAAAATGTTCCATGAAAAGTTTTGTGTAATATGCTTGGACTATATACAAGTCTAATAGACCAATTTCACACAGGGTAAGTGGAATAGAACTTTTTTTACCTCGTTTTCTGCATTTATAATTTGTTCTGCTAAAAGTTCGGCTCTTCTCTTGGCAATCTGTTCATCCTGTAATACATCAGTTACAACAGATTTGTTTGTGAATGTGCAACTATGAACATCATCTCGAGAGCACAAAAGACAGAAAAATGCATACATTTTACCGCAAGTCATAGTTTTAGGACAACATGGACAGCTTCATCCTGAATATGTAGTGAGATAGCAAGGAAGATTCTAACAAGGATATTTTCCTTGAGCAAATGAATGATTGGAAACCCTTTACCACATTTCTCTCTGCATTAAGTAGAAGAATCTATAAAATATCATTTGCTGATAAAGCACCAGATACTGCTCCACCCTTATGACTTCCACTGACATTTCTAAAATTATTTTTGGGCAATTGTTAGCATATGCGCTTACTTAATAGCATTATTACATAAACCTAAATAGAAACACCAATCAGTTCCCAATACTAGATATGCGGTTGCAAATGGTGACAATCTTAAAGTAATCCACCTATTTTATTTTAGGATTTACATGGTTTTGGGCAGGGTTTGATCTGCTAATTTGTCATTACTGTTGTCTTTAGGCTTGGTGTGAAATGTATTTTCTCCCCAGTCCTGTACTAAAACCCCACACAAACCATTCACAACTAAAAAGGCAGCAGTGGGCAAAACAGTCCTTAACACTGATATTTTTGTACAGTAGGGTAGGATGTTCTTATACACGATATTGCCAATTGTTTATGGACACATGACCATCAAATACACTTAAGGCCAAAAGTAAGCGAATACCTCTCCAAAATAATAAGTTCAAGTGTTTCCATTGAAGGGTACTGTTAATTCAACAGCATAAAAAACATTTTAGACAATTGTGCACTTCCAACCTTATGGTAATCATTTGAGGAATGCCCTTTTCTGTTTCAGCATGATTGGGCCCATATGCTCAAAGCCAGGCCCATATTGACATGGTTTGATTAGTCTGGTGTTGAGAAACCATAGCGGCCTGCACAGAACCCTGATCTCAACCCTACGGAACATCTTTGGGATGAATTGGAATGCCAAATGCGAGCCAAGACCTCTTGTCCAACCATAGTAACTGCAATTGGTGAGGGTGCTCTCCGCACACCTTTCAGCAGTCCCGGCCAATAGAGATGAGGTGCTTGCAGTAACTTCCACGGATGGCACCGTGTAATGCACAAAGTAGAAAGAATAGGTTACCAGCACTCAAAATGATTTCAAAAAGATAAGTCCTTTTTATTGGACAGACGTGTCACAATAGTCAAATAGCCAACGTTTCGGGGCCACGCAGGGTCCCTTCCACATCTTTTGCCCTGAGGAAGGGACCCTGCGTGGCCCCGAAACGTTGGCTATTTGACTACTGTGACACGCATGTCCAATAAAAAGGACATCTTTTTGAAATCATTTTGAGTGCTGGTAACCTATTCTTTCTACTCAACCATAGTAACTGACTTCACAAATGCTCTTATAGAGAAATAGATACATTCAATCTATCTATTACAATAGATACATAGATACATTTCCACAGAAGCATGCAAAATCCTGTGGAAAGCTGTCCCAAAAGAGGGGAGCCTGTCAATTCAGTATGGTTTTTTAATTGGGATGATCAAAAAGCTCATATAGGGGTGTCCACAAACTTTTGGCTATATAGTGTATTTTATGGACGGACAAAACAGACAACTTGGAAACCCTTAAGACCTAAGTGATGGCCACAAGAAAGGCTATCAGACAGATTATCCAGAACTTCACCCCAACCCGGATGGCTGATGCTGGGGATAAAACCCAAATACTAGATTTGTCCAACGTCATGAGATGTTCTGTTACAGGATTCCTAAGCGGAATTAAAGGACAGCTATGAGGTGAGTGATTTCCACTCATCCTCATAGTTAGAGCCGAACTGTGACAACAAAGCTGTCACAGGTCGGCTCCATCGATCGGGAAGTGAGCAGAAACATGCACCGATCTGCTCACACTTCACGATCATCTCCTTACAGCAAGTGGTGACTGTCAGTCATCGCTCCCCGCAGGGATTCCCCGCTCCCCTCTCTGAGGGGGCGGGCACAGCTGGCTCTGCCTCTAGATAGGCAGAGCCAGCTGTCACTCACATAACTGGGTGGATCTCGACAGTATTGTCGGGATCCGTCCCGGCTGCAGCACTCTCAGTATAGCCCGCGATATACTGAGCTTTGGGTCACGGAAGGAGGTTAGTATATGTCCTCCTGTGACCATAAAGAGAACTATGGGGAAAAACAGTTACCCCATAGTTTTCTTTTTAGCAAATGGTCCGCTTTAGTAAGGTAATGTAGATAACATACAGTCCCAGAACTCACATGGAGCTCCACAGGGGAGACAGGCATCAGAAATGAGGTTGCCAAACCTGATTCTGTAGTTTTGTCATCCTTTCCTGGGGCAGGAAGACCTTAATATGAAGGAAATCCAGGAGAAGGCTGAAGAACTTCAAGCAGTGTTAATTTTGTCGACAAATAATTTTTGTCATTTAATCAACAACACTTTTTCAGTGACTAAAACTAAATAAAAACTAAGTTATGATGACTAAAACTATAACAAAAATTGACATACCGGTATTTTAATCGACTAACTAAAACTAGATGAAAATGTTAGGGAGAGACAATTTGGCAAGAGATCCAATCAGAACTAATCTGTTTGGACTTCCAGTTCTGGTTCCATTCTGAATGGACAGTTAATAGGCAATATGTGCAATGGCATTACAGCCAATATAGTTTTTCATTTTAATATTTTAGTTGCACTTCTGCTTGTAAGAATGAAGAATGCCATATGCAAGTTGTTATAATCAATGCATATCTAATTACTTGTCCTTTGTTGAAAATACTATTGTTTCTTCATAAGACTTGCTTTAATTTAATTTTAAGATACATAAAGGCATGTTATATATCACCACAGTTAAATCTGTGTCTGTATTGCATGTCCAAACCTTTAATACCAGAAGTAATGACAGATTAACAGATGTTTAATCCAGGAGTATTTTCAAATTAATAATCCAGGAGTATTTAATGAGATTGGAAATTCCAGAGAAATTCTTAAATTACTCTTCAACTGAACCCACTAGATTTTAGTCGACTAAATCTACTGTAGATTTAGTCGACTAAAATCTTATGATATTTAGTCGACTAAAACAATTCAGATAACTAAAATATGACTAAAACTAAATGGCATTTTAGTCAATAGACTAAGGCGTTTATTCACGACGGAGCCGAAGGATCCAGCCGTAGCTTCGTCTGATCCTTCGGCCGTCGGATCAGCTGCCAACAGCAAATTACCGATTTGACAGCAACCGAACCGAAGGGCTGCTGCATGGGCTATTCACAATAGCCCATACAGCAGCCGAAGGCCGTCGAGCCAAAGGCATATGCTTCGGCTCGACTGAGCTAAAATGACAGCCGAAGTGTGGAGAAAGGTCGGCCGAAGGAACAACCTTTCTCAATGCAAATGACAGCTGGGCGGAGCCAGCCGTGATCTCACAGCTACCTCCGCCCACTCGTTATTCATTGGCAATGACCTGCTAGAAGACTCTGGCAGGTGTCGGCCAATAGGAAACAGTTGGGCGGAGCTAGCGGTGATGTCACTGCTAGCACTGCCCAATTGTTTTTATTTTGCCGGCATCTGTCAGATGCTTCATTATGCGGCTGGAGTTCGTCGCATGCGGTCAGGTCGCATCGTTTTGTTTTTTTTTTATTTAAAATATTTTTTATTTATTTTAAATTTTCCTATTTTTTTTACATTTTTAAAATCATTCTCAACATTTTTGTACCAAGCAGAATAGCTGAGCCGAACTCCTTCTCTACTTTGGCTGTTCAGCTGACCAAAGGCAGCCTATGTACGGCTGATTTTAGCCTATGTATGGCTGATTTTAGCCTATGTACCGTACAAGGCTGAAATGAATAGTCGAACAGTGTTCAGCTCACTTCACTTTGGATCAGTTATCCACTCGTCTGCCTTCGGCAGCTAAGTGAATAACACCCTAAGACTAAAACTAAATCAAAATTTTCTGCCATAATTAACACTGACTCCAAGCCAGGTTTAGAGAGTCATCAGAGATGACTTCTCGATGATCAGGATCCATCCAAAGTTCTTTAGCATCGTAAATGACACACTCTTGCAGCAGTCCTGGTGATTTGATGACTGGAATACCTCTGAGATTAAGAAGATCCAGAATTGCTGCGTGGACCTTTGTGAACACTCTAGGAGCTGAGCCAAAATATATCCCCAGGCTTCGATCTCTTGGACTGCCACAGATGCTTAGAACCCCCTGCACTTGAAGGGGTGTACGATTTGGAAACTGGAAGTTGACTTGAAGGAACTAAATGTTGTAATGCAGGATAAGAAGGAGTTGATCTGTATCACTTATCCTTAGCTGTGCTTAACTGTGGTAAGCAGTACTCTTACTCGCTGTTACAACTTTAATGATTTTATCCTGCAAAGATCCAAAAAGACAGTCTCCCATGAAGGATAGGTGTAACGAGGCCTAATTTAACTGTTACTCTTACGCAAGAAAAAAGGCGGCTAGCATTCAGCAGCATGTCACAAATTAAGTTCGATGTGACAACCATTTGGTCGACACAATGCCAATATCTGTCCTGAACCTACCAGCAGCTGTTGATAGTAGAAAAAGCTTTCAAACAGAAAACAGCAGAGCTGTAGAAAACACACTAATTCTCATGAGGTCACTAAGCAAAACTAAGCAGGTGCAAGGTAGGAAGGGTTATAGCCTTCAAGGGGAAGGCCTTCAGTTTTTATGTGACGAGTGCCCATTTCTCCTGTTGGCAACAGTATAACCCCAGGTTGCTTAATTATCATGAAACTGTGTCCCTCAATGGATATTAGAGAAACATAGATTTTAGGATGTGTACTGTATAAAAGTATTTCATATCAACTCACTGCCAGAAGCTGGTGCACATGAGACAGTTATTAACACATGTTAAAAAGCACTAAATGTGTATCTGTCAAATAAAGATTTTGTTGCATGTAATATAAATATATTATAAAAGATCAATGAATAAACTTTAAAAAAATGTAAAGAACATTGACCAAAATCAATAAAAAAAATTCTTGCAGATGTTGACATTTGATTAACACCACACCAATTACCCTTATTTTCTTCTTCATCTCTCTCAGCTTCCTTTTGCGATCTTCTTTTCTTCTTCGACGTTCTTGCCATTTAGCGAGTCGAGGGGGCAACAGGCGGTCACAAATGTCACTCTCATCTGCTTCCAGAAATACAGCAATGTCTGGGAAGAAGCCTCGTTCTCCTATGTACTGGACTTCTTCTATGCTGCTTGGGAATCCATCCAGAATAAATCCAGTGGAGCTAAAAGAAATATAAGACAACGCCAAACCAACTTAGTTTTACCAGTGACATGTAAAATGTTAACATAACATGACACAACAAATAAGAATTTAAAGTAAACCCTAGGCCAAAAAGGACATTCAAGTATTTACTAGGGCTGGTAATGATTAAAATTTTCGTGTTCGATTCATCAAATTTTTTTTAAATCGATTAAATCGATTAATTATAACGCACATACAGATCCAACTACATTGGCCTATACACATACAGCACAGCAATTAAGTAATAAAATGAACTAGGATCACACTAATCCAGCATGTTATTAATTTCACGTGCCCCACTCAATATGGCCGCCGCTTGAGTGGGGCAACTCAGAATAATAACGTGCTGGATTAGTGTGATCCTAGTTCATTTTATTACTTCATTGCTGTGCTGTATGTTTATAGGCCAATGCCTTGGCTGGCGCTCGTGCAGAAAGTTTCTTGGGCAAACTAACCGGCCCAAGTGGCTCCGTCGGCTAACGAAGGGGGAGGAGTCTGGTGACATCACATGCATCAACATCACCGGACTCCTCCCCCTTCCCTTCGTTAGCCATCACGGACATCGACGTCACCGAACTCCTCCCCCCTTCCCTTCGTTAGCCGACGGAGCCACTTGGGGAAGGGGGGAGGTGTCCGGTGACGTTGATGTCCTTGACGTCACCGGATCGCCGACGGGACTCCCGGAAGCCGGCGGAGAGGTGAGTGTTTTCATTAGCGATCAAAATAATTTTAATCGATCAAAAAGTTTAACGATTAATCGAGAAATTAATCTTTAATTTCCACAGCCCTAGTATTTACATATTCTTAACACATAGTAAATGAGCTTCAAAACACTGCCTCACTCACCTAAGTAGTTCTAGCCACTGGGGAACAATCGATCCTCAAACTTCATAGTAGAAGCAATAAAGTCCGGCTTTCTGTGTTTACATACATAAAAAAAGGACTACAGTGTTTCTGCTGTGAACTTTGATTGAACTTCTCCACAGTGTCTGCAACTACAGAGGTCAGTAAGGGCTTTGTTAAAGCTAATTTACAGTTTGTTAGAAAAACGCAAATACTTGAATGCTTACAGCCTGGCCACATCTTCACTTTAACATGATGCTGATGAAAACTTTCACTTGATTTTAAGCTTGATTTTTGGAATATTTACATAGTAGAACAGCATTAAAAAAAAAATAGACTTAACAAGTAAAGGTATTATAGTAGCAAAGTATCTTTCTACTATTTTCATATTGACTTAATGGCAGCATCTATCACCATTCCTTTACTCAAGTGCAGTCAACAAAATAAACTTAATCATGTTTCAGTAAAGTGTAAGTAAACCCTAACAATTCAGATCTGTCCTGTGTCCTGTGCACTTACTGTGTTACCTCAAATAGCCCTCCTAGCTCTTATCTTGGACTACAGAATGATTAGGCTTTATCATGTGGAGATAGGAGTGGGGATTAGCTGAGCTAACAACACAGTCCACAAAAATGCTGTATGTTGTCAGCCCACTATAGAAATTAGGAGCTGAGTGCATTTCTGGCAGAACAACCGTTATTTTTCTGTACTTGCAGGGTCTTTAAAGCGATAAAACACAGGGAAATGTGCATGTATTGCAGAAATGCGTAATGCATATGTTTTTTTTTATAATTTTGCTTTGACATACACTTTAAACATTTGATGACATAGACTTTAAACATTAAAATTACCGAAAAGGCTCCTTGGTCCACCATTCTGTTACAAACTGGTCCAGCACTTCAGTTGGTAGTGGGTCGTTGTCAGTTAAATAAGACTTTATGGCCTCCTCTTCTAATGTAAGAACAACCTCTTCCTTTATGAAAAAATACATAAAATGATGTTAATGTCATTCTGCTAATTCAAGCTCTATGCTCTATGAAGACTCTTGCTTATAATTGTTGTGCTAAAGACAGACAAATGAATGACACAACAGGGTCACATGCCTCTATGCCAAAGAGAAAAAAGTCTATAATAATCAGTCTGTAGAGGGTACCAAAAGGCATGAAGACAGTGTCGGACTTTCTTTTTAGAAAGCCCAGCAGGCTTTGCAAACGGAGTGTCATGAATGCATGCCATAATAAATGTTTATCTGTTAAATAAAGGTTTACATGTTATTGATATACTCCATCTGTTAAACTACCCCTCCCCTAGTTCTCTGTATCCAAATAGAAGCAGGCATTGAGCTCTATACTTTCTCCTGAAGACTGACAAGGCATTGGTCTACCACATTCAAATGCTCAATCAATTAAACTGCTGTTGAATACAGCTGTTATCATTTATTTATTTATTCAAAAGTAAAAGAAAATATTACATAGACAAAGAATTTAAGAAGCATGACAAAACATAGCAGACAGTAATCCAATCCCTTCATGCCCGCAACGTTCGCCAATGCAAATTATCAAATGGACGGTTAGATACTGGGAGAGTCAGTGGGGTGTTGCATACAAGTAGGCCAGGGAAAGGAAGGAGAGAGGACAGAGAAAAAAAAAGAAGACACTAAGAGCCAGAGAGGAAAGGAAGAGAATAGGAGGCCATAAGGGGAAAGGATAGGGGAAGGGGAAAGAAGGGATATTCGGTAAGGGGAGCAGAACCTGTGGCAGTATGAATAAAACAATATATCCAAGTATTCCAAACATCACAGCAGAACTAGGCATAACAATCATACAGATTGGCTGTAAGTTCCTCTATATTTCACAGGTGCTGCATCTCCTCAAACCATTCCTCAAAAGAGGGGGGTATAGAGGTCTTCGAGTGATTGGAAAAACAGCCCTAGCAGCCATTAAAAATAATTGGAGGAGACCCTTTTTAGCCGAGGACTGCACCTGTGAGAATGGAGGGCACGTTTGGGGGAACGGTCAGCTGCTGAAACAGAGAGGCGGTCATAAAGGTTGAAGATAGAGGTCCAAAAAGAGGAAACAAGAGGACACTCCTACCACATGTGAGGGAAATTTCCCGAATAGGGAAGACAACGCCATCAGGCCTCAGGGGCCTGGGAAAAAATACTATGCAGTCTAGCAGGGCAACGGTACCACCTGGATCTAAGTATTGAGAAGAGTATATTTTACTCTTCCAACATTCTTTCTTCAAGCGATATAAAAAAAATTAAGCAGTGCTCACAATCCAGATGTTATTCCAGCTCTGTGTTAACAGATGCAAACACAGTTACCTTTGAATCCTTCGATTCCTCCTTTTTACTTTCCTCTGTGTTTTCATTTTCTAATAAAAGCAACATGTCTTCATCAGTTGTGTCTTCCTCAACTGATTCTTCTTCATAGTGGGGTCCGACTTTTTTTTCCAGCTTAGATAGCATGATCTCTTGCAGGCGTTCTTGAAACTGGATGTGGAACATACCTAATTTGTTGGCTAACCATCTTGCATTAACTGTTTTCCCAGTGCCGCCTGTTCCAATCAAGAGGACTCTCAATGGTGGAGCCTGAAAGAGCAGGAAGTGAGAATCTAGAACAACGCTCAGATAAAGTCAAAAGTTTATTATAAGTTCTAATGTAATCATTAAGTACTATTAGATCCTGGGCTTTATATAAAAACATTACCTGTAATGGTTCTTTATGGACAACATAATTCTCAGGATTCTCTAGAAATGTCTTTCTTGCTTCAGGGCTTGAGCAGTAGTATGTCTTCTCTCTGTATATAGCAGCATTATCCTGCAGTCCTGGCTGGAGTATAAATTTGTCCTTTATTGCCACTGGGCAGAAGTGTTTGGAATCTCCGTAATGCTTCTTCTTTTCAAAGATACTTTCTTCATCCTGTGAGAAACATTATTGTTTTGCATGAAATTACATAATATTGTCCAGGTAGAACACATAGAAAAAACAGTTAAAAAAAGGTGAGATAAAACAATCTTATTGAGTGTTGCCACTTTATTACTTTTTTATGGGAACCATAGAAACCCTATTTTTTATTAAAGGAACCAATATATATGCGCAAAACATATATTCACATAGGTACAATAGACATGTTCATATTGGTTTTCAGTAGGGATGTCCCATTACTACTTTTTCAAGACCAAGTACAAGTACTTTCCCTCAGGCACTTGCCAATACTTTTTCTTAAAAGGGACATGTGACATTTAAAAAAAAATAATACAGACCCTGATACTGATACTAGTATCGGTATCGGGACAGCCTTAGGTTTCAGTATTAATTTTAAAAAGTTACAAATTAATTTTTCTCTTTCTCTATACAATACAATAACATGTCCAAGAGAAACTTAGGAAACCAGGAAACAGTCCAAAAGCTCAGCAAATATGAAACATTTCTGGGCATGCTTAACAAATACCCGCCATGAGAGAAATACTGGTTGCTGCCAATGGTAGCCTCCTGAAAATGTTAGTTTTGGGGCTTTGTCTAGCTTTAAAACTTTTTGAACCACATCTTATAATCAATCAGATGCAAGTCAGCAATGGCATGCTTCATATACTGTAACTCCCCTGATAGGGTTCATTTAAGTGTATTACTTCCTGGTTAATTTGTATTGCTTTTGTTAAGGCCATCTCTTTAAATAGGAGCAAGTTGTTCCTTGACAACAATCTCTATAGATAGAAAAGTGTTGACTTTTCCAAAGTTTCTCTTCAAATGATCACAAGTTGTTCTCGGTGATTCAGATACTGACAATTTTATACCTACTTAATGACAATTGGCTGCAGGTCATAGAAAAAATGAACTATAACAAAAAGGTTACTGGGGATGCTTACCTCAGTTTTCAGAGGCACCTAATGTAGTATGAAGATAAAAGCTATTTGGGGGAAAAGGGGATTTATATTGCTTTTACTAGTAAACCAATATTATGATACAAAGAAAGATCGAGTTCTTAATTATTGTCATTACAGTTGTATAGTCAGTATCTCACTGTATATAGGTAAAGCAATACCACATGAGTTGAACCATCATTCATGGTGCTAAACACTACTATTATTTAATAAAGGTACAGAACAAAATGAATTATATAATAAATCACAGCAAACTAAAGTGCAACCATCCAATTCATTTGACAATAGCAATCTAAAATGTAATTGGTTACTCTGGGTTACTGCAATCATCATCATTGCTCTTTGCTCTATGCCACTGAATAAACCGTTATAGGGGGAATTTATCAAAACTGTGTGGCAGTGCATGGCAATGCCGCGGTGTAGTATGACAACATTGGCACCCAGGACTCTCAGTCAAAGGGGCTGAGAGGGTCCAGAATGTAAACACTGTTTTAAGGAAGAGCCTGGCTTTTCAGGTTCTTCCAGGTTTTCCTAAATGTAGCTGGGATCTGGAGCTCTGGATATCTCTTAGAGCTCTGGGTGGGATGAGATCTCCAGTCCTGGGGCCAGGTGTAACCAATGACCAGTATAGCTGGATCAGGTGGCTGAGAGCAGCCTTATTAGGAGTCTGGACCAGAGTTCAGAGAGTTGTGTTGGAGTTGTGTGTGTGCAGGAGGCACACAGACACAGGCAAACTCAGGTGCGTGCTGGACGCACAAGGAACAGCCAGGGGTGGCTGGGAGAGGTCAGGAAGGTCGGTGACCCAAGGGACCTGTTGGACGCACTGCTGGGAGAGCAGAGTGAGTGCCCACGAGGGGAGAGGTCAGGAACGTCGGTGACCCTAGGACCTGTGGTACACACTGCTAAGAGAGCAGATTGAGGGCTCACGAGGGGTGAGCAGCGTGAGTATCTTGGAGCTGTGGAAAGCTACAGAGCGAAGCTAAAAGACTGTCTTGTGCAACAGGGGAGGTCTACCCTGTGGATGGAATTAGATATTTGGTGTTTACCCTAAATAAACTGCATTTTACTTGCACCTCCTGTCTACAGTGGAGTGTCCTTGTTACAACTGGTACAGACAAAATCTGAAGCAGTTGCCTATGGCAACCAATCAGCTTCTAGTTTGTTGAGTCATGCTTTGAAAATAAAAGGTGGTGCTGATTGGTTGTCATGCACTGCTGCTCCAGATTTTGTCTGCTCCAGTTTTGATAAATTCCCCTCTATGACTTTTAGCTGATACTTACTTCTTCTGCATCTTCATTGCCTTCTTCTTCTTCTCCTTCTTCTTCTTCTCCCTCCCCTTCTTGCTCCTCAGCATCCAGCTCTGCCTGTATGTCTTCTACTTCCTCATCTATGTCCTGAGTGGTTACTTCCCATCCTTGATACTGAAATGGTTCTGAGGAAATGGTAAGCCGGTTAGATACAACAAGCCCCTTCTGAACTTATTTCTGTGCATTAGCAAAACTGGACGTGCTGTACAAGTAATAAATCCTTACACATTCCCATACTCCTCCTTTTTATTAGCTTTTCTTATACCCTAGCTTGTACACTTTGTCATTTATAGTTTATTTTTGCAAACAGATTTTTGCAGTTTGGAGGTAGACACTTATATAATGGATGATAGAAACAAAAGCATTTTTTGTCAAACATTTGTGTATTTCTTCCAAAATGCAAATGATCTATAACACAAAAATTGCACATTTATTTACACTATTGTTATAGGTATAGAATTAACAAAAGTGCATATTTTTCTTGTTTAATATTAATATTTTATTTATTATATTAATATTTTAATTATAATATATTATAA